ATGTTGATTATTATTACACATAATTTTTTTTTCAAGAACTTTCAGAACTCTTAGAAAACTTATTCTAAAATATTGACGAGAAAACATGTTTTCCATCGTAAGCTTATGTTTATTTCCATTACAATCTAATTATCTCGTTTCAAAAATAAGACGAATACAACATAATGTGAAATCACTTACTTCATGGAATTAAGGATTACATCCTTTCTTCTTTCAAAGGCTTCGACATTCGAATTTCAAATCTCTGAAGATTCGAAATTGCGAGGTTCATTATTTGAATTTCGAAGATATCAAAGCTTCGAAAATCGGAATTATAAGATTTTTAACTATATAATTTAAACTATATATTTTTAAACTATATTTAGATCGTATTCTTCGAAGCTTCAAAATTTCGAAGATTAAATCCTTTCGAAGCTTCAAAATTATTGAAAATGAACAATTATATTATTAAATATACAGTGCCACTATTTGAAATAATATAATATATAGCACAATTTGGAAAGATATGACTATCTTTGAATAAGTAATATATTTTTAGTATCACATTTATTGACAAGTGATAAAAAAAATAATAATAAACGATAACAATTTACGATTATTTGATTATAAGACATCATGAAACTACGTTTATATCAACTTGAAGTGAAACTTGAAAGAATGGCTTTTGGCCAAGAAATGTCAATCTCAGACCATTGTGCATTGGCTGTGAACGACAACGGGGACGAATCGCCGCGACCCTGAGCGGTCTTTCGCGACGAGGACGAGTCGCGAATTATACTGTCGGTCGTTATGGAAAAATAAAGAAAGGGGCGAGGGAGACAACAACATAACGCGCGCATCACGGATCTCCTCGTGATCGTCTACGTGCTCATTCTCCGACTCGGCAATTTATCGTGCTTACATCCCCGTCGCCATTTCCGAGCCGTCTTATTCAACGTCAACCGGGACAGCTCACGACATAATCTGCACTTCCGGCATTTTACAAGGCATCAAGATCGACAGCGTTATATACTATTGATCGGTGATCGAAACCGCAACGTTGCGCGGTATTTGGGACGTTCAATGAAAAATCACGTCGTCTGATCTCGCAAATTACAAACGGATGATGTTCATGATGTGTATATATAACAGTCAGAAAGTGTCTCATTGTGCAATCAAAGAGCCTTACAATTATTTGCTTGAGACACAATATTATTATTTATTACTTCATTAGATACATTATTACTATTTATTACTATTAAAATGTTACAGACAATTGCTGTACTGTTGAATGTCATCAATTTTGAAATTGCAAGATCAGGCGTGATTTTCAAAGAAATGATTTAAAAAGAAAGGAGGTCAAATTGCGGGATCAGGCGTGATTTTCAAAGAAATGGTTTAAAAAGAAAGGAGGTCAAATTGTAGATTTAATCTGCATATATTTATAACGAATATACTGTATATGCAAATTATTATCGATATTAAAATAACTTGCATCTGCTGCGTGTATATTATAAATACATGGAAGATCTACAATTTGGCTCTTATCGCCTCTTTTTCTTATATTGAGAAATAATAATTGTTTAATAATAATTTAGTAATAATAATTTAATAATAATTCAGTAATAATAATTTGAGAGTAATAATAAAGTAATATTTTAAATATATTCTCTCGTATTTTCCGAAGCAAAATCGAGAAACGGTGTTCTTGCTAATATTCGAATTTAGGTGTTCTGAAAGCAATAACCGACGGTACGCATTTGCAAGTGCGAACGCAAGTGGGCGGCATCGCGCGGAGGTTGTAGTTACCCCACTTCCAGTCGAAATCGAGACAACTGCTATTGTTTCAAGAAAGTCGCTCGCGTTTATCCGACAATTTGCGATAATTCAGTACATGTTCGCGCTGAATCGGCCAAGAAAACGCACCGATAATTTCGGTTTGCCCGCCTGGCCGTGGCGAATCGCGTTCTTATATATAGAAATAGTCAATAGGACGTCGACGGTACTGTTAGGAATTTAGTAGAGTATACGCAACTCGGGGAAATTGATCGTCTTGGAAAGTTCGAAATTGCCGTGCGTTTGGAACGTTGTTTACCATATTGTCCGTTAATAAACGGTACCTCCGTCATTTTTACGGACGACCGGATCTCTTCCAGGAAACCGTTCATTGTTACCCCCTACTCCGCGAGCGCGTGGATATATAAATTATTACGATATTTCGCAAACGCCGCGGCACCGCTGCTCCTTTGTCGGAGGAAAAGCATTTTCTCTCGACATTCCAGTACGATGGTGAGGAAAGTCCGATTTGTCGCTTTTTGGTTTCAGAGATTATCATTGACCATTAGGTTGGTACAAAACATTTGGTTTTTTGTGTTAAATTTCATAAGAAATTTTGATTCTTTTGAGTTTTAAATTTCGATTTTCGAAAACAGTTGACCATTTGGAAGCTGAGATATTCACAATTAAAGATGTCACTTTTTATATATTTTCCTTGAAGTTAATGTCCTATTTATAACTTCTATTTTTAATTTCTTCTAAACTAGATTTAGGATTTTA